GTAGGGAAACAGTCAGATATTGCAAAGGGAAGTGACTAGATAACATGGCTGCCAGAAAGGGAAAGAATGACCATTTTTCAAGCTATTACTCTGAAATTGGAAGCATGTTTACAACTACTCACCAGTAAAAGCACTACGACAGATGCATGTATAATCATTTATCAGCTGAACACAGTCCAGACTTCCACGAGGGTTACAAGGATTAGAGAGGCATTCGTTGATATCTCCCTCGCATCGCTCGCCTGCAAAGCCTGGGAGACAAATACAGCTGTAGCCCCCGATCTGGTCAATGCACTGCCCTTCATTAAAGCAGCGAGGTACTCCTGAGTCTAAAACACAGTCGTCGACGTTCTCCTCACAGAAATGGCCTGTCAAGACAGTAAAAAGTAACAATTTGAGGATACAGTGTCATGGCCTCATTTCCTACGCTGCTCATCAAGTTTTAAGACCATGTCACACACAGTCCCAGATATAAACAGGTAAAGATCCCCGCTTAATGCAATCCACACCCCATGCAGACAGCCAGCCTCAGATCAGACCTAGGGACCATGTGTTTTAGATCCAGGCTGCTCTCAATGGTAGGTCATACTGGTATTTAGCAGCTTTCATGCTTGACTTAATTTAAGGGCATAATTAAAAACACAAAACCAAACCAAACCAAAAAAAGATGCACTCAATTTAGCCCTGTGACTGAACATAGCCGGAGAGCCCTGTGCTGCCCTTGCAAAGCTGCGAGCTTCCCACCATTCATTTAACTTGGTGGTAACCCTGAAACTTGGCAAAGAGCATTTGTAGCGACATCATTAAAACAAGCAACAACAAACCAACAGAAAAGGAACTGTGATAAAACACAGATTCCTGGCCAGCATGCCATTCCTACAGTTTGGCTTCTGGGGACTTACGGTAAATTCTCAACACCGGCTAGGGATGGCAGTTTCTCCCTCTCCCTACGGGGCTCCCTTTCAAGAGACAGTGTCTGGCACTGGTTCTGCCTTCACCGCACAGTGTAACAGATAAAAGGGGCAGAGAGGGTAAGTTGAGCAAGGAGTTTTGTCCATTAATACAGTTGATTCATCTGGAGCAAGTAAAGCCATTCACCTAAACATGGAGGATGCTCATGCTGGCATTAGTAAAGTATTCATTTTAAACTGGACCAGGGACAAAAGCTAAGTCTTGATATCATAAGTAATTATATCAATCTTTTCTAATCCCTTTCATTTACAAAAAAAAAAACCCAGTCACATCCAAAAAGTAATTCATCTCAACAAATAAAGACTGAAGAATTAAAAGCAATACATTCAGAACCTCTCAAAGGAGGATGGGTGTTTTAGTACAACACAAATTCTGGCAATGCAGAAATTGGTACATAAATTCACACTTTGATGTAGAGGCATAAGAAGCAACTTTTTTTTTTTTCCAATTGGAGGACCAAATTAAGAACAATACATGAAGAAATGCTAACGCAATGATTTACAATGAAATAAACACTTTATTACAGACTGGGGAGATGTGCTGACAGCCACACTAAAGTGAATAAACTGGTAATATGCACGGGCAGGAGGAAAATATATTAGATTATTTTATAATTTTACTTAAATTTACTTTATGAACCAAGAATTTAGTTCTATCTGACACACAACCGGAGATTTTGCCTACATTGAGATGACACACTTCAGAAAGAAAAAGTTCAGAGGAATGTAAAATCTTTAACTGACTTGAGAAATAAACTTAAGAAAAAAAGTCAAGTCAGAAAGCATTCACTGATGGATTAAAATGTGCAATGCTGAATATTTTCAAAGGTAGAAGTCAGGGCCATCAAGTCAGATATAACAGGGAAATGGAAGGTTAGGTTTCGAGAAACATGGCATTAAACAGGCTGTGGAATCATACTTACTGAAAACCACCATTATGTAACTATGGACTTTTTTAAAAAAACACAAGAACTTTCAATAAAAGAGCCCAAATTTGCTGAAATAGTTTAAGCTAGCCTAGAGGCACTGAACTTCTTTTCCACAAAAGACTCCAGGACAGAGGACAATGCAGGGCCAAAATTTAAATAAGTAAAGGACACTGGAAATTATGCAAGAACTAAGCAAGTTTTCTGTATATTTCATAGCATCCTAGCCAAAAAGAAACCTTGTATTTACTGTATCAAAACAGATAGGGTTGGGAGAGACCTTAATGGTAATCTTAATGGTAATCTAGTCCATCCCCATTGCCAAAGATGGATCGTACATTCCCAAAGGACACTGTCATGACCTATTCCTTTAAAAGAAAAGAAGAAAAAAGAAAAAGAAGAAAGAACAAAAAAAGCAGCATTTATTTTTAAAGAGAAAATATGTATCTCAAGGGATTCAGTGCACTCTGGGAACATTCTTCAAAGAAAATAATGCATTCCCTTTAGACTGCGTTATGAAACCAGTAGTCAGAAAGGAAAATTCACTCTTGTAACATTCACTTAATTGCTGAGCTTCATACCCCGAGTTCCTGGTGGACAGGAGCACTTGAAATGATTGACGAGGTCTATACATGTTCCTCCATTCTGGCAGGGCTGAAACTGGCACTCGTCCACTCCATATTCGCAGTTGACACCCTGGTACCCAGGCACACACTGCCAGTATAAAAATAAGTGTGAATAATCTTCTCCTAACAGATACATTAGTAGACATCTGAGAAAGGCTAACACAGACAAACAAACCCTCAATGGGACAGATTATGACTGCCTTTGTAGCTACACAACTGCAAGTGATTTCAAGGGCTGCAGAGCCAGCCAGCTTAAGCACACAACTTGACCATGTGACTACTCAACAGCACACTGCATGTTTGAATTTGAGTAACTTTATTCCTGCAAAATACAGCGATCAAATCCTGACACCCTTCAGCGCTGAGACTGGCTTAGTAGTTTTGACTTAAGGTTTACATAAAACTCATCATTTCCTTCCGGGCATGAGCTTCGAAGGTGTTCTAGCATTCTGAAAAGCTTAGGAAGGTTGATATACCATATTATCATAGCCTACGCTGCTCTCTGCCTCAGCTGTAGGAAACAGAAAGCAGGGGAAGGCATTTCCCAGTCTGAGAGGCAAGGGATGCTTTGCCCATCCAATAGGGAGAATAGAACATTCCTTTAATGCATTCTACATATATTTTAATATAAACCACACCTCGGGCATGAAATCTTTCAAGAACAGAACTCCGTCTCCAAAGAGGCAAGGAGTTCAAATGCCCATCAACCACACCTCCTTACGATCACACCTCTAATTCAGTCTTAAAAGCCTCTCAGGACCACTGCTTCTGCCACAGCTAAATTAAAAATTCTTTCCAGGTGCAGGTTGCTTTTATCCCCTCTTTGAAGCTATTCTACCACTTGCATGTGTTTCTGATTTCTTTGGATTCCTCTGCATTGCAGTGCTCTAAATATCTAGACCTCTTCCTACTAAATCACCATGCATTACCTCGCACTGGTATCCACCGAGGTGATCCCGGCAGGTAGCACCATTCTGGCAAGGGCTGGAGTCACACTCATTCAGCTGCACCTCACAGTAACTGCCAGTGTAACCCACCTGGCACTGACAGTGGTGCGAGTTTCCAACATTGAGGCAATGACCAGAGTGCTGGCACAACTGGTCTACTGCGACTCCTGAAACAAAGTTAAGTAAAGTGAGCAAACACGTAAAACACACTTGCCGCCACTGTTGGTAGCTCAGCCAGGAATGAACATGGCTAGACCTAATGAATTGAAAAGTTGAAATTCAGAAATTGAAGAGTTACTTGTTAAATTACTGTGGGTCAGAACGACAACTGGCTTCCAAATGAAGTCACTGCTCTGTCCCCTTTGGATCATCACATCAACACTAGCATAAAGTATTTGTATTGCTGTATTATTTTACCACTGGCTGGTGAATAAGCATCTGAAGTACTACTGTTGCAGTACAAAAGTTCAGTATTTGTGCCTAGAATGTCTGCAAGAGGTAGGGGAGTTTGACATCCTTCTCCTTTGACACTGAATCTGCTTGTTTGGATTTCCTGGACTGAAAATGGCTTGAGACTATCCATCAGCCTGGGCTACAAGCCACCTTCCAAGAAGAAATTCACTTAAAAACCAAATCTTTTACATGTACATCATCTGAAGCTGGAATTTAGTACTTTGGGGGGCCACAGTATTACCTATATAGCACACAGTAGCCAGTATTCTCTGGGAAAATACTTACAAAGATCATGAGTTACAAGATGCCCTTCTTGTACAAGGTCAACATGTCTTAAACCTGGCCTGCCTGGGATTTAGCAGAACGGCATAAATAGCTTATTTTCCAAAAAGGCAGGCCACATAAAACAGTATTACTGAAACTCTGAGACTTCATAAAATATTTAATTCTTCTTTTCTAGTGTTGTTATGCTAGCTTCTTATGTCAGGGAGAATCAAGAAAGCCTTGACTCCCAAAACACAACCTTGCAGAGAGATTTTTAGCTTAGAAGTGATCATGATCAACCACCTAGAGGCAAAGCTCTCTGGGATTTCCAATGCACGCTGTGTTCACAGGCATATAGGGAAAGGAGGCGCCAATTAAGAATGCATGGAGAAATGTTTTCAGTTAAAACACAGAGGATGCTTATTTACCCCTTTGTGAAGCTGCCACTTGACACGAGACATTGGGCACATCGCAGTAAGCACCAGTCCAGCCAGATGGACAGACGCATCGAGTCTGGGCTCCGCTCTGGACACACGTGCCTTTATTCTTACAGGGAGATTTGCTGCACAGATCCATAAGTGCCTGGAGAGAAAAAAAACCCAACATGATATACGGCAAGCGCAGTAGGAAACACTACTCATAGTACAAGTTCAAGAAGGAAAGAAAGGAAGCTCTGCAAAACTGATTCCATGTGGTGCTGGAAAGAAAGGGACAGTAGTTCCCAAGTCTAAGCCAGGTGCTCCACTGACAGTTTCAAGAACTCATATGCCTACGAAAGCGCAAATGTACAGAGAAGTGAACCCCAGATGGCAGCGTCATTTCAAGAGTAAGCTGATCCTCACACCTTGCTATGCAGAGGGATCTTTGGCTGGCTGGGTTTGAGCAAATACAGTTTTATCTCAGACTAGGCTTCTAGTTCCACATTGGTAGAAGACTTCCAGCTATCAACAGTAACAGGTGCCCTTTCTTCTCCCAAACTCCCCCCATCTTCACTGCTTTTTGAGGATGACAGATGTGTTCCACATTTTGATCTTTTCCTTTTTCTCATTAGCTCACCATACCTGCTTTTGGCCCCATTTGCTCTAGTACGGTCTCTCTGAGTTTTCCCGTCTTTTGAGATTCAACTGAAACCCCACAACTGTTTTATGAATTGAAGATGGGCCAAAGTATACTGCTTTTCTTGATTCCTTATATATATTTTAAAAAAAAGTTTCCAAACAAAGAGACTAAAACTTAGTAAATCATCATATGAAAGTAGAGTGAGGACCCAAAATAACTCTGTCTGATAAACCAGCCACTAAGCATCATTTCCTTTTTGAGCACTTAAGCCTTCAAAGTAATACAGCTATTTGATTGATTTCAAGCTGACTTGAGGGAAGGATGAGGTTTTTAAAGTGAGTAGTACTGAATTTTCACTGTAAAATGCAATTTCAATTGCAGAAAGTTCTGCTTTTCAGATGCAAACTGTCTGCTCACAAAGATTAAAGTAGAAAAATCTGTGCTTTCACAGGCAACCGAAAAGGAACTTGGAATTAAGTTTTATCACATGTAGTTGAGCGTGAAGAAGAAAAACAGCAAGCCTCTTGCTTCTGCATTTGTAATGAGTAGCTGACTGTTTTACATGCAAATTCTATAACTTATGAATCATTGTCTGATTTTGTACTGCTTATTTAGCTTTGCTAATTAGGTCAAGTCAGTTTACAAGAACTACAGTGTAGCTGTAATCTATAAATCTCTCTAATACAGCTTTGAATAGTACTTATAAATTTAGAAAGTTCTGATTCCTGGTATAAAATGAGTAACACATTATGATCAAGCCTCTCCGAACATAAAGCAGACTTTCTGAGAATCCACAACATTTAATTTGGGGACAGGAACATTAATCCTTTTCTCAAGTAAAAGCAAAGCAAACATAACAGAAGAGGAACTACTGAACTTCACTGTACTTTACGATCACTCTCAATGCTAATTCTCCCAATGAGGTTTAAGTGGTGTGCCCAGAATGCATAATTAGGGTAGCAGAGGGGTTGCTCTTTTATATCACTTCATTACTTTGCATTCACTTCCTCCATTAGCAATACCTAGAAGCAGACCTGACAATTTAACATCTAGCAACATACTTCTGGAAAAGCACCTCCCCCACTGCTACTAAAATGCTTCTTCTAACACCCACTGCTTTACAAAGACACATTGGCACGACAGACAGTTGCAAAACCCTTAGCTAATTGTAGTGTTTTCCAGTAGTTTAAGAAATTCACAGATTTTTTGTGTTTTTTAAATGGCAGCACTCAGGCTGCTTATGAAGGGAGCCAATATAGTGTTTCCTGTCCCAAAGTTACAAATAGTCTCAAATCATTCTTGCTCTTTTGATAGGTGCAGAATAAAAAGCTCTGATTTGAAAAATTAGATCGGCATTCTGTTTCCACTGTGCTATGCCAAGTTTAAAGTCTTTAATAGGTACTAGTCAGCCATTTACAGTATGGGTTTGCAGCTCCTACACTCAACTGTGCAAAACTGTAAATTGCCTGAACTTAAGTCTGAAAGTAAGGCTAGAGATTTTTATTGAGGTTGTTAACAGGACAATCACATCAGTTACTGCCCCAAAACGTTTTCTGGCTTCTTATGGAGAAAAAAAAAAAAAATCTACAATCAACCAGGAATAACTACACCTCCCTATATAAAATAGAACAGTTAAATCAAGGTCCCACTAATCAGACTGATATTCTGCCATTTAAAGTGGTGGGGGTTTGTCTTGGTTTGTGTGTGTTTGGTGTTTTTTTTAATACAGGACTCTGCCTTCAATCAGGACAATTTTACGCTTCAAATGGAATGCAGCCATTTTCAAACCTAACAGTTGTTTTTTATTTAAGAAGAAAACTAATCTAGAAGATTCCAATGACACCTGTTCTCATCAATAACCAAGCATTTTTCTCCTCCTTATAACTAAACACTCTTGATTTCCAGAGTTTTGAACAGGGGCACCTGCTCTATCAAGACAGAGGTGCTGGACTTATTTTTCCCTTGGGTAGCAGACCAGGGAACGGGAACTGAAGGAACAAGAGCTCTGCCATGTTTGGTACCTCACATCTAACCTGGTCACTTCTACTGTTGGTAGAACAGCAGTACCCTGTGCAAAACAGGCAAGAAAATGTCACCCACCTGACAGTTCTTCCCAGTATAACCCAAAGGACATATACATCGGTATGTGCCTTGGCTGTTCACGCAAGAGCCTTTGTTCAAGCAAGGATGTGAATCGCACTCATTAATTTCTGTGAGGCAGAAGGGTCCTGTAAACTCCGGGGGACACTGGCAAGTAAAGGAATTGATCCCATCCACACAAGTACCGCCATTGAAACAGGAACTGCAAGAGAGTGAGAACAAAGGTAAGCTGAGACAAAATGCAATTAGCTCACAGCCAAAACAGCACGTAAACATTACTGAAATGAGAGAGAAAAACGGGATCTTCTGACCAGTGGTAAGTTCCTGCTAAAGAAGCATAAATCAGATAACAGCAATTCAAGGGGACTCCAGCTCACCCTCCAGCTCACTGTCTTTTACCTTGGCAGGCAAAGAAAGTAAAGCAGGGTTTCAATGAGTCATTAGTGACGGAGATAACTTATTCAATGAAATCTTCCCAGCTTCAATGTGCCCACAAACAGTACTGTACCAGGAAGGCGTGTGGCTTGCTCAAACTGATAAATTTTATACAAATTCTATTACAAATCACAATTGTATTACAAATTGTGAGAAACAAAACAATCTGCCTTTTTTTAAAGCTTCAAAGGAGTCACAGGTATGTTTTCTCAAGGAAAAAGTTCATCTAGCATGCAAAACACGAGCATGTTCTTCATTGAAATTATGTGAAAGTATTGGCATTGCTAAATCCCTTTCTCCTCTTCTCATGAGAATCTTAAGTCCTTGATTTACAAAACTACTCATACATGCCTTGGCAGAATTCAGATCAAAGGAATTATCCCCCTCCCCCAATCTTCTGATCATAAGAAATTCTGCCAGGTTAGGTGTCCTACAGAGAAGTGACTGGGGAAGTTAGGAGAAGTGATGCCTCATGCAAAATTGACTCCTTTTGCCTTCTAAAGAAATGCCGCCAGGAAACTCCTGCTGCTCTGAAAATAACCCTAGATCAGACTCAAGATAATCAGTTTGATAAAGTACACAAAACTAATTTATGCTTGTTATCTGTTTTGCGCACTGTCAAGGGGTACTTCCATGAGAGAAGCCACTGACTCGGCTTGAATTTCCAGTGCAAGTTTTAAGTATCTAAATTCTGACTGTGACTATGGTAGAGATGTCAACATTAACCTATTTATCAGAGATGTTCCTCTGCTTTGTGGGCTGAATTCTGTTTTACAGGGAGCAGAAACTGCCGTTTACATTCATGGCAAAACAAGGAAGAGAAGACAGAGGAACTGTCAATCACTTGGCGTGTTTCATCGAAATCAGGTACCCATCTCCAAAAGAAGATGGCACTCTCTCATAGGCGGCTTCTCACACAAGACACGGAAGAATTATTTGAACCAAATTCAAATTAGCCAACCATCATGACGCTTTTAAGTATAGCTCAGTAAATTTTGGTTGAGAAGGTGTGACTGGTTTAGTTTGGCAGAGCGTTGAAAATTGCTACATCCTTCATACCTGCAGGACTGGTTTCTGTCCTGACTGGTAACGAAAAGGAAAACAGGATGAACCTCAAGGAAGAACCAGGCATTCTGCTAAGGCACCCAGCACACTTCACTTGATTAAACAACTGTTGTGCAAATTAAACACACCCTCATCAGTGACACAATCCTGTTTTTAAGCAAAAGATGTTAAAATACTTCCTCCCCCACAAATGCAATTTGTAAAAGATAAGAAAGATCTTTTCTTTGTGTGCAGAAAACACATGAGAATACCAAAAGCTTTGCATTTAGGCACCTTATTTCTGGTAACTAGACTAGAACAGACTATTTTCTTTTTTTTAACCATTTCAAGCTTTATTAGAAATTGTTTCCATTTGAGAATCTGAAGTTACTTACATCAATCCTAACAAAGCTTAAAATAAATATGCAGGCAGATGATGGATACACAGGGTTAACTCTCAAAAGAGCTTTTAAAACTACCAAGTGAGCCATTTATATAAGGACCAGCTGTTGAGCGTTTTAACTCAGTTCCACACCTCCCCCTTAGAATGACCTGAGGTTTTATTTCAACACTGCTAAGCCACATCCAATGTGTGAGCATTAAAAGATCTCTGATGATTAAACCTTTCCAGTACAGAATTTGTGAATTTAGTGTTCCTCCTGGTTGCTTCTTCATATTATTTGCAGCCAGTAACTCAACTCAGGGCTAATTTAATTTTCCTGCCTTTCTGAGAGTTGGCTATCGCTTCCATTTTTGCAGCTTTTGAATTTCTCAACACAGTAACTGTTCAAAACTAATCAATTATTTCCCCTCCCCTATATGACAATGGTCTTATAAAAATATAAATTATTTATGTTTTAATAAGCTAGTACCTGTTACTGTCTTAACGCTTGTTAAACACTGTCATATTCCTCCTGTCATGGAACTAAGCTTAGTTGTGCAACTGAAGACCAACTTTGACAAGGCAACTGTCTTTCAGCTGGTATCCTGCACAAGGTAAGCAAGTTTTCCTTGCATGAATCGCAAGTATGTCTCAGTGACAAAAGGCAGGCAAACAGATCCTCATTGTTAAAAACTGCTTCTGAGTAGGACTGCCTTCAAGCCACGAGCACACATTGTGTGGCTCCTTAGTGCAGCAGCACAGTGAAGTTATCTCACCTCTCAGTGCATTCATCAATGTTGTTCTCACAGTTGATTCCCTCAAACCCAGGCTGACACTTGCACGTGTAGCTGTTGACGTAGTGGGTGCACGTGCCTCCATTCCTGCATGGTTCACTCAGACATTCATTGGTATCTGTTTGACATTTATCTCCATGAAATCCAGGTAGGCAGATGCATGAGAAAGAGTTTATCCCATCCACACATGAAGCTCCATTTTGGCAGGGATCTAAGACAGAAGTATTACAGTAAGTGTTAAAATGGGTAACAGTCAAAGGCCAGGCCTAGCGTAGTAGCTTTTGGAAAAAAAAGCATCACACAGCTCGGAGTGTGACAGTCTACTGACAAGTTTTTCTGAGCCACTTTATGAAGAAATAATTGCAAAGCATTATCAATAACAAATTCACAAGAAGGTGTGGATCAAGACCAAGCTTCAGGGCCTAAAGGTTTCTCTGCTGGGATCCGTTCAGCCAAAACCAACAAAACCAGACCCAAAGTCTCTTGGTTTAAAATTCAAACTCTGCTTTTTTGATAAATGCCTACTGAGAAAGACAATACAAACAGCACAGCAACTGTTTCTTCTTCCTTATCAAGTCTTATTCATAAGAGAACTCGGACTGCTCTCTCTTTTCCAGACACTGCTCAACACACAAAAGAACTTGTGTGTTTCATTTTAAGAATGAAAGTAGTCCAGTAGAATCAAACATGTACATATAAATTAGTACATCTATGAGCACTTATGCGTTACTGAGTACTTAGCATTTTTCCCAGTATCAAAGCCTGACTGGGGAAAGGCTGGCAGAAAAGCTCACAAATTCATACACAACCTTGGATTCTCCTCACCTCTGCATTTCTCGACATTTTCTTTATCCCTACCATGAACTTGCTACTTATGTATCACCATTTTTTGGTCTAAGCCACCCTCTACTACTGTATTCCCTCTACTCCCACAAGTACCAATCTGTCTGAAAGAGCTCGGGCATTCAGTAGTTTCTTCCTGCTTTGCTCCTTCCACTTTTGGATTTAAGACCCACATTCCTCTGTTGGATACCGCCTCTGAAGCCAGTTTCGTTTTCTACTCTGCATTCCCTAGACCAAAAGCCTATGTATATGAACATAGGGAGGGAAACTGGGAGGGGGGAGGAAAAGGGGAGACAGGAAGGGGAATGAAAAAAAGGGTACGGAGCAGGTTTTTTTGATCTATGACTATCCTTAAGTACTACTAAAATACAAACTTCAAAATGCAAATAGACTGCACCAAAAATTTGCAGTTCAACATAAGTACAAGTTCATTCTGTTCACTGGTAAATGAAGAAAACAGATGTGAAAGGTAATTAAAGCTCATTTATTGACTGAGAAATATGCTCACATGATAAAAAATTGTGTTAGAAGAGACACACCTGCATCCATTTAAAGGTCATCTGACTACTGCAGAGAAAAAGCACATTCAAAGTGAGACCCCTGGCAGCTATAAAATGTTGTGTCTATGGCAGCCAGCCATTTATGACTGAAGCCAAAAGCTGAGCATTAATTTTCTGTGCCGCACATTTACTGACAGAAAAAGGAGACTGGAGTATCAACTTTTCAATAAGTTCTTGTTGTTGGAGGGTTTGTTTGCTTCACAGATTAAAGACATTTGGCTCAAGCCATGGAAGGTTTTTGTTATGCTAAATGAAATCAGCTGTAGCAGTAATTTGAAATTCTTCTTCAACCTCATGGGTGTGCTGCCTAACAGACAACATGGGACGAAACTCACAGCTCTCAGAACACTTAGGAAGAGAGAGAGATTTCCCAGCTGTTCAAGAAGGATGAACATGTTTTTATCTTCAGACACCCACATAAAAACTAACAGGACAAGCAATAATTTTGTTGGCTTCAGTAAGCAAAGCTCTGGGTCAATGCACCAATGCGACATTTTTTTGTACTGTACCTGTTTGCTCAGAAAGAGGCAATCAAAAGCTCAGGCTGAGCCAGATGTCTTAGAAGTTCTTTCAGCAGTGCTGCCTTGGGGTCTCCCACGGTAACTTTTGCTAATAGACTCTTGTTTGGATCCTTCTCTACAGCAGTCACAATTTAAATTTTTTCCAATGCAAAACACAACTCTCTTAATTCATACCTAAAGTCTTTAAGGCTTCAGTTTGGTTTTAAGCTATGCTAATAAAAAATAGAGGTTGGTTTGTTTGTTTGTGGGTTTTTTTTAAGAGTCAGCCAATTAAAAAATTACAACATTGTGAACTCCTCCAAGATTTGATAAAGCACTTTCCACATAGTAACAGATGAACTTTTAAACACATGACACTTCTCACGAGACTCTGATTTTATCTGATGACGATACAGAATATGCCCAGCAAGAAAAAGAAGTTACTATGTATTTGGTTTCCCTTGTGAACAGCAGTGTCAAAGGCATGAAATTAACAGTTGCTTTCTTGTAATTTAAACAATTTCAGTACTCATCAATGTATGGGCTATCCTCCTGCAACTGATACCTATTCCAGAACAGCGTGCCTTCCTGCTGCTTAATTTGCTTTCAAATACGGATTAACTGGAACGGCAACAGGACCCACTCTTCCCAGAATATTAATGTCAGACAGAGACATTTCAGGAAAGACTGCTATACTCCAGATTCTGACCACACCTCAATCAAGCTTAACGTTGAAATACAGGTAAGCCCTGCAGTGTTACTTTAACTTGGTGTATTAAAATTTCAGGCAAATATAATTCTTCATTTAACAGTGCTCCTCATTAAAGTATGTAAACTCTAAGGACCTTTTCAAGTTAAGAATCTGGGAACAACTCCTGCTATCAGTTAGAACACTGTAGTCCATTTCCAGCAGCTGAACGTGATGGATTTTGACTGCCTCAAACATGCAAGTCTTACAAAGCTGAAGTTTGGTTTTTTTTTTTTGTTTTGGTACGAGATTATGAAAGAACTTTCAGTATTTGTCAAATAGCAGTCATCAATAGTACAGCAAAATTATTTCTAGGAGAAACTGGAAAACAGAACAATCTGCTGATACTCACTTGAAAGGCAGTCATCAATGTTACTGTCACAGTCTCCTCCAGTGAAGCCTGGCCGACATTCACACAGGTAACTGCCTTGAATATTATGGCACAGAGCATGATTTTTGCAGGGCTTTGAGAGACATTCATCGATATCCACTGTACATCTCTCCCCTGAAACATGGAGAGTCCAGAAGTAAGACTCCTCATGAGGCAATGGTCAAAAGGCTCATGTACTGCCAGCATTGAAAGTACAGTATGTTCCCCATCCACATTACCTTCCCAGCCAGGGGCACATTGGCAGGTGTAGCCTTCAGAGTCAGGAGATTCTTGGCAAATTCCCGAGTTCTCACAAGGATCAGGGGAACAAGGAGCAACCACTACCTGGCAGTTCACACCTGGAGAGCAGAAGGGGAAAAAACAGGAGAGTATGCTGCTAAGAGCTTGGTGCTTCTTGGAAGAATGAATAAAGAGATTGTAACTTGCATGATTATCCTACACAGCAGTGGATGGTATTTCCATATTTGAAAAATCTAAGCAGAAGGAAAAGGAGATCAAAGCACTCCTCATGGGCTCAGTGGGTACAAGCAGACAGCAGCCATGGTAATGCTGAGTTTAATGCCCCTTCAATTCCCAGTGCATTTATATATCTCAGTCTAACTTTCTTACAAAGAAAATTAAACTGAGCTGCCACCAGGACATTTCTTAATGAGTACAAACAAGGCTTAGATATGGTCTTACTAAGTATTCTACTACTGTATCACATCTACATGAACTGACTGTAATTTAACTTCATGGCATTTCCCCTCTTGATTCCTATTTCCATGAAGTTTAATGAAAAGATTAAAATGACACTAAGGGTGCAATGAAGTGGAAAGGAAAAAGAGAACAGAAACTTCTTTCTGAATTTTCACCTTTGAATCCTTTCCTACAGGTACATCTATATCCATTCAACAGATCCTCACAAGTTCCTCCATTCTGGCATGGGTTTGATTTACATTCATTCCCTTCTGTTGAACAGTAATCTCCTATCCAGCCTGGGTCGCAGACACACTTGTACCTTTAAAGGCAAGCAGAGCAGTAATTTTAGAGCATTCTGAAATAACTCCTCTACCAGTTTCTCCTGCAGATTAATTTTGGAGAGAAAACCAGAAGACATCTCTTTAGGAGAGCCCTAAGTTACATTTAGATTGCTTACCCCAGCTGTATAGTTTTGAAAATGCTGAAAATAAACCCCCCCTTAAAACCACACTTCCCTCCATTACAGTTTTCACAAAGCGCTCAGTCAAACAGCAATACGTTTCTGCTTTGATAAGACCATCTCAACACATTTAAACAAAGACAGAAAAAAAAAAAAAAAAAAGATTAAAAAAAGTGGAGAGGAACAATAGGTTCCAAAGATAACTAGACTGATTTAATACAAAGTAGTGGTTACAAATGAAAACAGCTGGCTGGGAGCAGGAGCAATCTTCTCCATCATGTTTCAAAATCTGAAGTAGAGCAACACTCCACCCATATGACATAGAACCAAGGACTCGGTGAATCACCCTGGGCTCAGGCCACACAACATACACACTGGCCTCCCTCCCTGTCATGCAAACGAGACTTATTTTATCTGGCACCAAGCGTAAGGTGTACATGGGCATAAATACGAATGCAAGTGACAGATGATAGGCAAGATGAAACAAAACATTTGTTTTCCAAGCTTACACAGAGGCTGAATTAGCAATAAAGGCAGCTTTCCTGCCAGCTCCAGGGAAAGTGCTGAATCCTGCCCTACAGATCTACCCGCAATGGTAAATCACTTCCTTGCTCAAGTGCTGACAATGCTTTCCAGGACACAGCACACATCTGGGAGGCACTGCTATTCCGTGTACAGTTGGGAAGTTTCAAAAACACAAGCCCTACCTTCCCAAACCTGTTGACTCCACAGGCCCTGTGCTCCCAGACTTATAATTACCAAAAAGAGGTCTGATTCAGGGCTCCTGAAATAGGCATTTGGTCTTCCTGGATGGGAAGATTCAGAAGCAACTACTGCCATCAAAATAGCCAGAAAGAGCTTTCCTTTTTTCTCTCAGGCATGCAACAGTGTGACTAAAACTGATGAAATCTCAGCCTTGGATAAACTGTTCTAAGCCAAATACTGCTCTGTCTCCTAGTGTCAAAAGTTGTCTGCCTGTTCCTTAATACAGAGCATTTGGGTAGCAAGAACAGCACTAGCCAACAAAGATCGTCTCCACACTCAACGTTTTAAGAGTTTGATGGAATAGGTAGCTGCTGCTCTCCTAAGATTCAATTTGGAACCATTTCTTTATTTTAATTGCATTCACTCTACTCACTTGAATTGCCAAACCCTCCCTTTAGACAGTGGCAGTCCACCCTGCGCTATGTGCCCATGCAGAGACAGCAAAGAATACAATGCAGGACAGGAAAACTGACGTTGAAACAGCACAGACTGCAGCTGCTCACTAAAGGTCTACACCTTACTGTGATTATGTCATGGGCAGCAGATAAGTCTGGATCCTAATCTGAGAAATTAGAGGAAAATCAGAAACCTCAAGTCAAGATGGAACTCCGGGCAAAGGAAAAAAAAAAAAAAACCCAACATATAAGCCAGCAGATAAGTTTAATGTGACAATAGGTACTTACCCACTAGTAATGTGTGTGCAGTTACCATGTACACAGGGATTACTAAGACACCCATCTGCCTGTGACTGACAGTGAGGATGATGGTAACCTTCAGGACATACACACCGAAAGCCATTGGCTTCATTTATACATGTTCCACCATTGTGACAGGGGCTGGATGTGCATTCATCGATGTCCACATTACAACGTGGGCCTAGGAAAAGACCCAATAGTTATTAAGTAGTATTTCTTATATGAACATTAGCTTTGCATGTCTGTGAGTACATACATTGAGAGACAACTCAGTAAAGCCAATGCAGCAGGACAGATCTTGCATGCCTCCGTGCTTTAACTGAAGTCAAGAGAAGCATTTTTGAAAGATGCAGCACTTTTCTGTGCCTGGTAAACAGCGCTTACACTCAACAACTGTTTACAAACCATTCAAGAATCTCAACAGAATTCCACTAAAAATCACTGGTTAATATTCATTAGGAAGACAAAAATCACTCAACTGTATCATGCTTGGAACAAACCTCTTGAGCTCCACTTGTCATAGCCCTGCTCTTCTGCTTTGAAAGTACCTACCCTTTGAACAACCAATACTGCCATACTGTCTGCAGTAAATATAGTTCTTGTGGTTTATTGCGCAAAAGGGACTCTAAAAAACACCGTTTCCTGTTTTGCCTGTCTCTGATTACGACTGCAAGATCCTTGAAGTAGTGACCATAAGATCTTGTGAGGCTGGAAAGCTAAACAGAGTGAATGTTGCAGTAAGTTGAAAGCATTTTTAACATAAGGAAAGGACAAAGTAACGAGACCCCATGCAAGCCAGCTCTTTAAGTACTGGAATATGCCAATTCATCACATTACTTAATTATTTTAACAGCATAACAGTAAGAAGTCCACTAGGATAACAAATATGGAATGCCAGCAACAAAGAAGACTGAAAGGCAAGAGTGATCAGGATCATGCCTCTTCCTGTTCTGGGGACCAAAGAGTACCACCATGCCAGAGCCAAAGAAAGGAAGGAGTGTCAGAAGTTTAAAAAGACACCAAGAGAAAAGCACAAGGCACATGAAACCTCTCAGTGCTATTTCTAATGCACTTCAGATCAATTCTAATTAGAATCATTCAGTAATAAACAGTAATAAATGTGATGAGAAAACTGTTATAAACAGTACCAACTGCCTTACAACAATTATTTTATGAATGTATTACCCTACATGGCTCAAAACATATTAAGTCCATTATAAACAGTGTTGAGATGTGCTTTAGTCATCCAAAATAGTCCTGATGTAGATCTACAGTTCTAAGCAGGGATCCAAAAGTGCCTAAAAGCTTTTTTTTTCAGCCCCACTTTTACTGTATTAGGTAAGTCTTTATAATTTAAAAAGGAAACAGAACAGACCACACTATGAAAGAGAAGTACGGAAAAAAGCAGGTTATTCTGTTGGAGACTTCAGAGTGCAGAGCAGCTCACTAGAACACTGAGTTAATGCTTTGCTTTCACAGAAAGAGAAATACTGTTCATGGTCAAAGCCCAAGGTACTGTCTAATCAAACACCTCTCTATATTGTCCACAATCTCTCTGTCCCTGGAAAGAAGCTGTAAATAATAAACCAAAGTCACATGGGTTTATTTGTTATAAAACCAAGAACCATGAATTGGACGTAATTACCTAACAAGAATGGCATTTCACAGCACAGATTAGGCCATTTCTTTGCTTGGTAGAACTTGCTGTAATGTAAGACACTGAGTTTCAAAGATTAGAAGGATTTACCGAGATACTAACTGAACCCCTTGCAGTCAGTATGCAAAGCACAGCTTCCTTAGCTACCCGGATAACTATCTTCAAAACAACTCAAAGCTATCGGGTAGCTGACTTTACCTGTAAATCCAGGTTTGCAAGCACAATTGTAGCGATTAATGCCATCAATACAGTCCCCGTGAATGCATGGGTTACTTGCACAGTCATCAAAGTTATTTTCACAGTTCACTCCTGGAAAAAAAGAGTTAGACGAATAAGGAGGCCAAATCTTACAAGGAAGACAACAAAACTATTTCCCAGAAATAGCCAAATTAAGAACCCCACCTGCTTCAAAGTTACACGTGCATTGGTGCAACTTAAACAGATGATGATGCAGAAGCACTGCAACACCAGGGGATGTCACCTGAGTCACTGGGTGCTGACTGAACATGACCTAAACTTGTACTAAATATTCAAACAAAAGAATAAACTGGTTTGAACACCATACTTAATTTTTCTACTGTGTGCTTGAATTTTGGGAGTAAAGAGGAGGTAAATTTTTCCAAGAAGAGTTGCAGTACCAGTAAGGGTTAGGCAATCCACACAAACACTCCAAAATTCAGCAAGGAAAAGTAATGTGAAAATGATACTCTCATACCATAAGTTTATCTCTGTATGCAAATTTAGCACACACCAGAGCATACATAAGAAATAATTAAATGCTTGAATTCTGTTAGAATTCAATCCTTCCACTTGCGCTTTATGTACCTGAAGTGCCCAGCAAACAGTTGCATTGGTAGCCATTCACCAAATCAATGCAGCGTCCTTGATGGAGGCACGGATTGCTGTGGCATTCATCTATCTGCTCACTGCATATGGCACCCATGTAGCCAGGATTGCATATACATGTGTATGAATCAATTCCATCTTGACATTCCCCATGGTGGCAAGGATCAGGATCACAGTTGTTGATATTCTCCTCACACAAAAGGCCAGTAAAACCTAAGGAAAAATGATGAACAGGAGTAATCAGGAAGTTAACTGGTGTGCTGCTGCAGTGAATATAATGCAAATATAGAAAGAATCATATTAAGAATCAGCAAAGTGGCAGACAGCACAAAGGGTAACTGGACATCTCAACTCCTGCGCATTTACCAGCCCTGGAAAACAACACTCTTCCGCTGCTCATGACATTACTTAACAGCATCTTGCATGAAGAATCCTGGCATTGGAAGTGGTTACCTTCAGTTTATTCATAACAGTAGCAATGAGAGGAAACATCTAAATCTCCATGAGAAATGTTTACTTGCATCAGTATAAACTATTTGAAGGCACTCTCCTGTCATTATTTCCTCTACACAATACCAGGGGGTTGACTTTTCAAATATGAGAAATTACTACAAAGATGCTGCAGAAACCTCCCCAAGGGAACTCCCTTGGCTCATGTCAAAGCTTCTGCAGCTCTGCTTATTACGAAGTTTTTTGCCCCTCGCATTGGGAAACCTTTCAGTAACTCCAATCAAGCACCAACTGCAAATTTATGAAAGACTGCATGCAACCTCTTCAGTTAGGAGCAATGAAACAAGCAGCAATTTGGCCTGTTTCATTCTGCTTCAGCTGGGAAACATCCTGAGCATTAGAGAAGGACAGAATCTATTCATCAGAAGGGCTAAAACAATGGTTCAGGAAGCTCAGAGCAGCAAACAACTCCCTCAAGAGCCCTGTCTTCCATGATGGAGCAGAGCTATATGAAACAGGGACAATTTAAAATAAATGGTTTTCAGAGATGAGGTTTTGGAGCAACAGCTCACATTGCCTTCCAGCAGCTGGAGATTAGGAAGGTAGAACTTCAAATTTCAAACACCAACTGGAGACTGATACAAACCAAGCTGCAGGGAATTTCAACAGCTGAAGAGTGATTCTCACCTGAGTATAATAAGTGGATAACAGGCTCCCCATTTTTCATACAGGTTTGTGGTTATTTCTCTGGTCAAACATACCAGGTGACGGCTAACATTTCCAAGTTCTGCGAACGTATGCATGGATGAATGGGTGTGGAAGTAGGTGGGGAGAGGGAAGGGAAGCTAGTTAGAGAGATGGATATAAAAAGATGTTAGGGAAGAAAGAAAAACAAACCGGTAAGAGGACGAACAGTGGCAAAAAAAAAGAGGACAGAGGCAAAGAAAAGAGGAAAGACCTAAGACAACTTAAGAAAAGAAAAGCCATGATCTACCACTGGGAAGGAGAAGTGGAATAATGCCAGAAGGGAAAGAAAAGACAAAAAGCAAGCAGTAAATAGAGCTATCTGTACAGCATTTGGCCAAACATTTTGCAGTTTTCAATCACTTCGGCAGCTGGCGATTACCATTCAGGGAACACATATCACTCATAATATGAGATTAATAGAGCAAGAACATACTCAAACGTTATTTTCCAGTAACTGACCTGCCACAATGATGAATTCCAGATTTCAGTCTTATAGAAGGCTGTCAATATTAAATATAATACTTAGGATATATTCATTCAAAAAATTATTGCCTTGCCTCTTATTGTAGCTCCACTGAACCACTTAAAGATCAGATATATTTCTTGATCTCTTAACTGAACATACCTTACTGAGATATAATTTCCCTCTTTGCAGACAAGAGTTAGACTAGAAAAAAAACAATTGAGTATAGAACCTAAGAATCCCTGAGGCAGGGCAGAAAAAAGCCCTAGTACAGAGTTCCTCTTCCATTTTCAGCCAAAGTACTAACCAAGGATTTTACTAAGAGCTGCTGCTTCAGTAACATACATTTGGTTGCTTTCAGCCTGTTCCTTGAAAATGCTCCATACATCATGTGCCTTCACAGAAGCAGCAGTCTTCTCTCCTCTTCTGGGAAACCTAGGATTTCTGTACTGAGGTTGTTCCAGCAGTTTAGTGCCCAAATTCAGAACATGCTTTTAAAGGCGCAGCTCTCCACATTGTCCTACACTACACGACCCAAAACCTTCCTAGGCCTGATAAGATCTGCACTCCTGGTGAATGAAAGCAACCAGACCGCACACCAGCTTGAGAAAGACTTTCTAAGATAGTTTCCAAGTTTGGAGAAGATTTGAGCTCTTTCCTCCTTTTGCAAGTGTCAGCTTATTCTGTCACATGCAGTAATCAAAAGGAGAATTCTGACAACAATAATCATTCCTCTCCTGATTAGAACTACTGCATTCCCCTACTTCCAACAAATTCATTGTTTCTTCAGGCACTTTGGGGAAGGGGGAGAGGGTATGTGTGAAAAGACTGGGGAGGAATTTTTAGGCTAATCTCTGCTATATTATGTACAGAGCTGAATAAATTAGTGAAGTCGAATTTGCCTTAACAATTTGATTATTGAAATGATTCAAAATGAGAAAAATTGCACATAAATCTAGCCAACCTAACAGCACATTTCTCAGACAAAGGTAGCTCCAGGAATTGTGCAGCCTTTTCCCTAATGGAAGAGCTAAAGCCAATGCATTCCATGCCTGAATCCGCATCACGAGCAATGCATCAGGCACCATTATCTGAAAGCAACCAAAAGTCATCCCTTACTGAGAATTAGTGTAACAGCTCTGAACTGCCCATACCCTCTTATTTGACCAGATGTAAAAATTAAGATAAAATACATCTGCATCACTCCTAGAGGTTTGAAGATAAGAAAATCCCATAATTAAACCTGATGCTTCTAAATGTGTAATTAACCAAGCAGTAAAGGAATTCAGTGCATTCAAAAAAACCACCTTGGTTCCATCCACAGCTCTGTCAAAATTTCTGTATGATGCTTGACAAATCGTTTTAACTACATTCTGGCAGGCAGCTACTGTATGGTATTTCTTCCAGTGGACATAGTTTTTACTGCGTTTCAATCTTCCAATTTTGACATAAAATAGCCTGACACAACAGAAATCAGAATACACCATAGTACTGCTCTGTCCATCTCTTGTTCTTCAACTGTATACTATATAATCCGACTTGGAAGAAAGAAAGGTAAGCCACAGATAAAAGGCTTCACACTGCTGTGTTTCCACTCACGGATTCCATAGTCAATACAGAAGAAGCTAACACCTTCTGGGAAGTAAGAGATGGGACTGAAAGAAGGAGGCCAGAACTCCCGTCAATTGTGAACTTGCTGCTGTCACAATGAAAGGCTTTCTGTACTTACATGCTATTCTATGCCACAAAGGAGTAGGCAAAGCTTTGCAACAAACAAGCAGCATTTCAGAGAAAGAAAGAATGCTGACACTTCTTTGACCACCCCTTTATGTATTTAGGTTACGTGCGATCTCCAGCCCAGGGGCTCTGAACACAAGACTAACCTGTGGCGCACTGGCACTCATAGCCATTGGGATGGTCAATACATTTGGCTCCGTTGAGACATGGTGTGCTGGAGCAGTCATCTATATCAATCTGACACACGGCACCACTGAATCCTGAAAGGCAGAAGGAAAGATGAAAATCCAGAAGTAATTTGAAGTAGTTAATCTAAACAGCTGCACTGTCAGGAATTATTTATTAGCAAATCCCTAAAACCACCCAAATATAAGCTCAGTAAATCTAAATTGAATTACATCATTAAGCACACACACCACACCCTGGGTGGATTGGTTCCTCGTCCAAACCACCAGCCAAAACATAGTTTCTATCCTCCAGGTCAAAGGAGCCTCAGCTTGAAAACTGAGGTGGCCAAGTCAAACAGAAATAAAAAAGACAGAGCACAAGTGGTGTCCACCACTGGACAGTATGCCTGTCTATAAAACTGAGAGGCCACCAATAAAAACTTTCAAGTAATCAAAGCAAGTAACTTAAAATGAAACAATAATGCATGCATCACTAGAGCCTCCAGACTAGAATTACTACAGCAGTGTGGAATGTGGTACAATACAGCACTGTATATTTCACTACATTTGTTGAAATAGTTAACAAACTATCAGTAGGTTATGTCACAGATATGATGCAGATCCTTAGGCACTTCAAGAAAAAAACCCCCAAAACTCCAGGAATGTTTCTTGGAGGAAGGAACCAAAGGAGGAGCCAGAACATCGTTAGTCAATAAGAAGAGATGCAGAGCAGGCTTCTGTCAAGTATATTCTGTTCTCAAAACTTTTTGTCAGCCATCAGGAAGACAAGTGTTATTTACCCTATAGCTAACACTGATCTCTCAGCTCAGCATCTGTCCTTCTTTTCTGAAGTGGAGACCAAATCCACCTCTCTCCTCGTGCAAGCAACATAAGCTATGCTGATGCAAAAATGGCTTCTGCCTAAAAACCCCAGAAAAAGACAAAAAGCATGCAGAGGCTCTGATTTTTAAAATGTATTTAAAATTGCTCATCTATATCTCACTATGGCATCCACAATAACAGAAGTTCTTGCTGCCAACTACCGTTTAAGGTGAGATGTCCAACCGTATGTTTCTCAGCACTTATATCCAGTTACAGGCATAATCCTACTACAACCAATACATGTCTATTCTTACTTACCAGTGACTGCAACTTGCTCATTCAAAAAGATGCTGCACTAAGACAACAGAAACTCACAAGAAATATACTGCCTGAAATCTCTCACTGGTTATCTATGCAGTTCTTGGTAAGGTGAAACAGGAAAAGCTTCCAGAAATAAGTACTTACCAGGAGGACAGACACAGAGGAAGCGGTTGACTTTATCAAGACACTCTCCGTTGTTCACACAGGGATTACTTAGACACTCGTCAATATCTTCTTCACAGTGAACACCTTTAAAACCTGTTTAAAAAAAGAAGTAAGAAATGGTGACTGAAGGCCTTAGAAAGTACCTTTAAGAGTATAACTGCCTCTTATATCAGTGCTGAAGGTTTAAGCTTAGTTTCATTGCAAGCTTGCAGTTTGGACAGAACCTACAAGGTAAGAATACACACCAGAGGTTGAAAATGGATGTTGAATGTGTATTTTTCACAGGTGCTGAATTTGCTCACTTAATCAGTGGTAACAGGACAAGTTTGTGCTGAATTCACATCTAATGTTTTCTTCCACTTGCTAAGAAGGGGTTATGTTTTATCATTTGGGAAGATATCAATATATTTGGGTATGTACCGATAGAAGGTAGAAGGTAAAGAAACAAACACAGTACATAGCTAAAAAGTCTTAGGCTAAAATTAATGACAGAGTAAAAGAAAAACATTAAGGGTGAAATAATTGGGACTAGAGTTCCATCTTTCAAAACAGATAAGATATTAATAAAAACTCATTCTAGTTTTCATGGTATCAGCTGATCACCTGCAGGGGTCACAATTCTTTCATCATACTTTATAAGACCATGCAACTGGCAACTTGCACCCTTTTCTTTTTACCACTTTCTACCAGAAAGCAAAATAGCAGACTACATAAGTCATTGGTATGCTGGACATGTAAATTTTACAAACACAATTTCAATCAACTAACTTTTTTACAGTTACTTCCTCAGGTTAATGGCAGCTTGCATCATTTAGGATATTTTAAGCAGAGAAAAAAACCAAACACTATTATCCAGAATCATCATATACATATCTCAAAACACACTCTTAAAATTTGCACCTGCTTTGCTTTCACAAAGTTTCTGCACATGCAGTTTACCGGGTATAGTAACAAATACGTTCATATATACTCCAGGTCAGAATGCTAACTTCCTTTGCTGATGTAGAGATTGGTCTCTTTCTCAGTCCTCTAATTGCTTTCTCCGTCCCCCTGGCAAATGCCAAGTCCTCCTGGCTGGTGCCACCACAGCAAACTCTCTCTCACCATTTCATTTAGCCTCACCCCTTTGCAATTTTCTGTTCCACCTCAGCAGAGCTGGCAACCCTCCCTGTGCTCTGCCCTCTGATTTCTCCTTTGCTGGAAGTCCCATCTTTGTCAGAAACTCTACTCACCTGGCATACAGAGACACGTGAATCCTCCGATTTTATCCAGGCAGGTGGCATCATTTTGGCATGGATTCGAATGGCATTCATTGATGTCCATTTCGCAGCGAGGTCCAGTGTAGCCCTTCAAACACTCACAGTGGAAAGAGCCTTCTGTGTTTACGCATTTCCCAGCATGTTCACATGGATTGCTGTTTGCTACAAGAAAAATTAATATGTGTGTGTGTCAAAACCTCTCCTCAGAGCAGGAAAGCCACAGCATTCTTTATTAGTCGTGGTCTTTTCCAGTGGTCATTCCTTTCTGGCAAGTAATACTGAGGAAAGACTGCTCATTCTTCTGGGGAAAGGCTACTGTGATTGAAGAAAACATGTGCAGTTACTTGCCTGTCAGAGGCAAAACCCAAGATTGCTGTCACTACCAATAGACCAAAGGAGCAACTCTGGTCCATATTACTAATGACAGTTCTTAAGAGGAGATACCAACTAGTAAAGATTAGAGAATTAATGATGCTTTCAAGGCCTTATCTTTAGATCATCTTTTACATTTACTTCACTCCTGAGTCTGACAAGATGCTGCCACAGCCACAAAACAACCAAACTAGTCTTTCGTGTGTTTTCAAAAAGGAACAGCACTCTTGTCCAAGGCAGACTGAGGAACGAAATTCAAAGAAGAGCTTCTTTCCAATACTTCCATGAGTGCTAGTTAGGTATTACCTTCATGCACCACACTCTAGAAACATAAACTAGCACTCACAAAATTATAAGTAAGTCTGTGAGAGCCCACCTAATCCCCAAAACAACACAACAGCATGGTATCAGAGAACTACAGCTTTGAAAGCCCACATGGTCACCAGTCTCAGAAGGCACTCAAAAGATCCAGTCACATTCTGGCTGTCAAACACCCTTGATATATTTCTACCAAGGCAGGAGCTGCAACAGCTCCCACACAAACTGTGGTACTTTCATTGTACGCTGCACTTCTAAGGGTCAGCTTAATTATCGCATCTGTTTGCGTGCACTCCTCGCACAATGCTAAAGCCCTCTTGCACAATAAAGAACAGTTAAGCATCTCACTGCTTTTCATATTCCAGAGGCTAACAGTTCAAACATGGACAGCTATTCTAACTCTGCCCTTTGCCCCAAGTCTCACACAAGATTTAAAACTCATCTAAAGACACTGAAATGGCAGGAGGGGAACAGGAAAGAAGTTGCACTTACATTGAGAAGCTGTGACAAAACATGTATTCTTGCCCTTCTGTTAGTTCATAAAGCAATCAACCCAACTCCCTGTTCATGTACTCACAAATAGCAAATAAAAACTCACCCATTGCACATTCATCCACATCCTCAGTACAGTCTGCTCCCTTATGGCCTTGAGGACAGGTGCAGATATAGTGTCCATTCACAGGATTGGTATCACACAGAGCACCTTTCTGGCATGGATTGCTAACGCATGCATCATCCAAGTGGCACAGAAGACCTAGAGAAGCATCCGAGAGTTTACTCAAAAAAGTGAGATATAGCAGTCAGACTGTATGTTACACAATCAAATCCTCTGACCTGATATTTCAGAGACTCCCACAGCCAGAAGCTTGAGCAATATCTTACAGGCTTCAACCTATAGTCTACCACAGGGAGTTCTCCACACACTTATAAAACATTATATTTAAATATAGATTCTGTGACTTCAGAGGTGTCTCCAGCTGCTCTCTGGAGCAGTACAATGGCTTACGATTACCAAAATCTCCTCCTCGGAGCAGTTAACTAACTCTTCTCTCTAACCACCATGATAATATTTCTGACAGCTGAAAACACAAGTGCACATGAAGCTCACTTTCTTAATTCAGATATACTGATCTCTTGTATTTTCGGGTAGCTGATGGGAGACCTTCATATTTTTACCTACCACACAACAGCAAATTTTCCACTATACCAGTAAGGGCGTTCTCACTCACGCAAGGATATAAAAATTTGCCTTCTAGACTTTTAAGTACAATTATCATAAGTGGCACAGAGCAAATCACCCTCATGCATAACTTCTCAGGCAAATACACGTCCTGCTAAACACTAGAAAAAGATCTGCTTTCCTTGCAATCTCAACTGTAATAAGTTTGTCTTCCAGCCTAATACAAATACTTCTTTGTCTCAAGCTACAGAGGTTTAAAAGGTCTTTGCTTGTGGACAGCACATGTTTCCTTTTGTTCTTCCTGGTTTGGTCACAAAGTGCACAAAATAAACACACCATTTCAAGCAAATACATAAACTTCAGGAAGTATCTTCTATTAAGTGCGAGACCTATGAAAGTTTTCTGCCCTTACCTGCCTTTCCTTCTGGACAAATGCATGAAAAAGAAGCCACTCGATCAATGCAAGTAGATCCATTAGCACAGGAGGCAGTGAAGCAATCATCAATGTTCTTACTGCAGTCGTCCCCACTCCAACCATTGACACAGACACAGGCATAGCCTCCATTGTGGTTGGTGCAGGTACCTCCATTCTGACAAGCATTGGGCTGGAGCTGACATTCATCAACGTCTTCAGTGCAAAATTGACCTGATGCACAGAAAGAAACAAGTTTAATAAAAGTTCAGACACTCAAACACAAGAAGATTCTTGCACAGACAACATAATCAAGGGAAACACTGTAGTCCAACTTGATTGCCACTTCTTATTTCTAGGACATTCGAGCCTGAGAACTTCCAACAGCACTGTCATCAAATCAGGCAAAGACAACTAGCACCCCTAAATGACCCCAAAATAGGAGCTGAACTGCAAATAACTTTAAAAAGGCACAGTGTGAGAGCCAGCAGGCAGCCTGCAGTGTATGAAGATACATCTGCAAGGATGTGAGAAGCAGAAAGAATGAAGGTCTGCCTGCAGAGCAGCCAGAGGGACTAAGAATAGAGAAGATAGCCTCACAAGAAAATCTTGGCCAAAGCAGCGTCAACAGGCCAGCAGCAAAGTAACTCTTGTCAGGAGAACGTAATTCTTTCCTATATAATTACGCAATGAATATTACTTGATGAGGAAGAATAGAATTCTTGAGACTCTTCTACCTAAAATATTCATTTTACTTCCCCCAGGTATTTCCACAGACAGCCACAGATAGTTGGGGTTTTCTTGGTTGTTGGTTGGTTTGGGGTTTTTGTTTTCTTTTTTTTAGAGACAAAATAAATACTCCAATAAAACGCTTTTATGACTGGAGATATTAGAGGGAAGAAAACAAATATACACCGTTTCAGAGAGTTTTAAGGGAAAGGACCACTGGACTACTAAGTATGAAATCAGTTTCAAGGGATACTGAATTTCACAGTCACATCTATAGGAAGCTCTGCAATTCACATTTACTAAAGTATTTATTTATCCAAATCCATCTTGCTTTGACATCAAGATCCGGAGAACCTACCACTTGCGTCAATATTTTGTTTCAACACTTATTCATCTTCCTGATTAAAGTTGCATGGTTTACTTTTAAGCCAAAATTGTTTAGCTTAAGTTTCAAGTCATACATTCTTATTTTGAGTTTCTTGAACAGATAAAACCTAGTGGCTAAGCACCAGCTTATTTCTTCCCAGAGTGGCATACGGGTGCACATGTGCAACCACAGAGTACTGGTCACAGTCCACAATCTTCTTTTTGAGAACTATTTCTCCCCTTTCTGTTACATTAAGAATTCTCTAGCACTGAAAGCTTGCTTTTTCTTTTTTCCCCCCACGCTTCCTTACAACTTGCTTTTACTACCCTTCCTAAAATGCTGATACGATGTATGTAGCACCAAAAGACCACCCTTTATCAGAGAATAAGATTAGATTTGTTTGATGTGACCTTTCCCCCCGCCCCCCTCCAGCTGACATCATCACCTCCCTCACTAGCTTGCAGCAGCTTCCATTATTTGGGTCAAGACTCTTAAGTAACTGCATTGCTGCTACCAAGATCCTGCCATTTGTCATCTCCAGCTACTGTATCAGCTGCACATTCACATTTGCCTGGAAATCCCCCTGTATTCCAAGAATAAGAAATTCAAGAACAGGCCACAGATCTTCCCTGCCAGTTTGCCTGGGCTCCAATTTATTCAGGTTTGACAATTTAAAAATACTTATTAGATGTTGCTTAACAGTCACCTTGTTTATTAACGGCCCAGAAATTAGGATGCAAGCACACACCACCACCCCCCGCCCCAATACACAGAACTGAAACATTTATTGTTGGCAGGAATGTAAAAATGTTCAGTCTTCACCATCTCCATCTACTATACCCAAACCATGATTCCTTTTGTTTTCAACGTACGTAAGTAAATCTTAGCCTTTGGTCCTGTGAGCTCTGGATTTTTTCCCCTAGTGGCAAAGAAATAAAATTACTTAAAGAAAAAAAAAGTTGCACAACTGACTTTGTTCTGTGCATGTGTTCCTTCCTCCAGCAGGACTACTTCAAAAAAAGGATTTTATCACTTGAAAAAACCATAATAAAATTTTAACAGTAATAATAATTACAATAGAGTTTTCAGAATTAATCCTCGCTTCCCAGTTTACTTAGTAAAACAGTTTGGGGGAAATCTAACACTTCATATTGTTATCTGCAAAACACAGCTCTCTACATTATGAAAAAAAACTATGCATTTGTCATAGTAGACATCGTTTGTTCATTAGCTTTCGATATTAGCTTATCAGTAACCAAACTGAAAATAGTCAGTTATCTCAGACTGGTTTCTAGTAGTCGTGTATATCTTGCAACTCAACAGAATTTACTTCCTTTTAAAAAAAATAATCAAGACGTTATTTGCTTATTATAAAAGTGATTTTCCTTCTTTTCTTGGAGGGGGCCCAACCCAGATCAAAGAATGTACTCTCTGACAAACACTCATCCGTAGCATAATCGTTTAGCAGAAGCGTTCTTGCAGCATTTACACCCTCCTTTTGACTGCAGCCAATTTAAACTCGGTATCACTGAAGTGCGAGCAGCTTTTGCGCTGAAATTGCCACACCACTCTGGATTGTTATGCCTCTCTCAAAATCACTTGCCTTGCGATTAGCTGAATAGAACTCCTGAAATACAACATTTTGTGGGTTTTTTGGTGGATTGGGTGTGTGTGTGTGTGCGTGTGTTTGTGGTTTGTTTGGTTTTTTGTTTTGGTTTGTTTGTTTTGGGGTTTTTTTAAAGCAAAGATGGGCAAACTACTCCCTCATATAAACACTCTGGGTTTGTTTTTATCTTCTCATTTCAAGTGTCACTAGTAATATCAACACTTATGATTTTTTAAATTTTTTTTATTCCTAGCACTTATTCTCCACTTCTATAAAGTACAGTATCAAGTGACATAATTGATGTCCTTGCAATAACCCTATGTCCTAGGTTACTCTGTATTTCCGTGCCCCTAAACCAAAACAAACTTTTAAAAGGTACATCAATGTCTCCATAAGAGGAAAAAAAAGCAAAGCTTAAACTTCTTTGAGCAATTCAACTGTATTTCAAGAACATACCACATTTGAGCTCCTTAAATTTGATCTTCACTTAGCTTCTCAGATTTCTAATATGCTTTTTGCAGCTACCAGGTCACAATCATATTTGTGTTTAATTATGAATATGAATCAGAGCTCCATCTTAATGCAGTTTTTTTTAAAAACAAAGGAAATCCAACTCAATATATGAGGGGCATAAATGAGCAATTAACTATTGCATTTTACTGTTGAGTATTTTAATGAAAAAAACTTGTTCTTTATTGAAGTTATAATTGAAATCCAGACTCAAGTTCTGGGCAAAAATATACAAATCAAAAGCAACATAAGGCAAGCAGAGCATATCAATCTAACTACATAAATAAGTACTCAGTCTCACCACCATCAGGCAATGTGAGTGTAATTGTTTTTGAAGGATTTTGGAACTATGTTTTACAATAATACAAATCCCAGACTAAAGTCCAAGGCACTTGCATTTCTTAACTGGAGCAGGTGAATTGGCAAGAATGTAAAGCAATTTCAAGTTCACTGAAAATGCTTGAGCGCTTATTGCTGAAGTGGGGTTTGAGTAGCTTGGAAATGCATTCTGTAGCCCAAAGTCTTCAAAAAGAGGGAAATAAAGGGTTTTTAGGTGGGGTGGTTTGGTGGAGTTTGGGTTTTTTTAGATACCCTATAGTTGCTTATATGGTGTTTTTGAATCTTTAGACATTAACAACATGGGACTAATGATCAGTGTTGTAATTCTTCAACACAGGTTTTTGAAAGGGTTTTTTTTTTGTTGCTGTTGTTTGTTTGTTGGGTTTTTTCCCCCAGAAATCAGCACACACACTTGTAAATGACGTTGAAGACTGCTCTCCCTCAAAGCAGCACCTTAATTCCTAGTGGGACTGCAGGATGACCACAACCTCTCACTCTCCCGAACCCTCAGTAGAGACTTCCAACTCCTTGTGCAAATGAGGGAAAGAAATTAATATTTTGGGCAGGTACTGCAAAGAAAAGATTTGATGCTTCTGTTGTTAGTGACCTAGGTCTTCAATGTAGTGTCTATCCTGGGAGCTTCCTGAATGACTTTTTCACAGCAGAGACAGAAGTCTCTTCCAGTGTTGGACATAACCCAGGATTTAATTCCAAAACTTCTCAGTGAATATTCTGCACAAGACTTCTCTCTGCCAGGTTAGGTAGGTAGATGTAAATCAAATGAGACAAAAGATCTCTGAAACAGTTTACTTAAGGGATGCTGCTTTGACTTAATTGTAACTGAACCAAGTATGTTTATTTGTAGCCATGTACTTGGTAAGCTTGTTTTCTGCTTAAGAGTCTTCAGAAGAATCAAGTCTTTCATTCACAGAACTGAAATTCAACCGTCCAAGTGCAAACTCCATTATGAATTGTACAGTGTAATACACATCTTCATAACCCTAGCGCTTCTGAATGCCACAACCACTTCAGCTAAATGTTAATTCATTAAGCTGCAAGTTTCTGTAGGTATTTCTTTTCTCGTGCTCTTGCTAGTTTCATTTAGATTTCTAAAAGAAGCATAGTAAATATAGGATGAACTAGTGAAGGCAAGCACAAATACACTACCTGTACAATATTTGAATGGAAATGTAGAAACATATGTATAAAAGACAACGAGAAAGGAAACACAAATTACTCCAAGAAGCTAATAAAAGCCTAACCTGACCTTGATATTTGCAGAGCCTGACAAATCAGCAAAATGCCGACTCAGGTTCTAAGTGACCTTGTACAAAGTAAACAGCTAGTCCATGTGGTATTTCAAAATTGAAAACCAGAAGTAGAAAAAGGGAACAACCTTCAACTCTTTGCACTTTTTGCCCACTATGAAACTAAGTTACTTCCTGCATGTTTCTCCTCAGAAAAGCCATATGGAGTAAGACAGATATATTTGCTGCTTTGATTGCTCCCTTTTTCAGACCAGCAGGAACTGGACATGAACTCCAGGAGCTTCTCTTCAGGCAGACACAGGATGCAGTGGTTCAAGTAGTTGTACCAGATTTCATTGATGAGAAACAGCCAGCCCCTTCTCCTAGAGGTCTTTATGTTAAAAAGAAAATAAAGCCTGATTTATAAAGGTGAGGC